CACGGTATTGGAACATGTGCTTGCTCGACCTGCAAGGGGAAGCTGCTTTGCGTCACTGCTAAAATACCATGGGGATGGCGCGACTACGCCGTACGAATCTGGAGCAATGAGAGGAGATTGTTATTCAAGCCTCACTAAGGAAAGTCGTCAAATCATTTCATGATGAGGAACACTTAGACAGCAGAAACGGTGAGTTCATCTGAAAGAAAACGGTCTCACATAGCCGCTTTTTTACGATTTGCACAACGTGACTACTGGAAGCGGTTTCTTTACATTGGAGCCTTTGGTGAAAGCAACTGTTTACTTAACTGCCCATCTTCTCAAAAACAAACAAATCAAGCTTATTTCGAAATGTTAAACGCGACACGAAAGACGACACTCCCTCGCAGGCCCGAAAGGCAGCTTTCCAGGGGGACGAAAAAGTTGTACGAGGGCAAAACCGGGTCATAAACGAACGCCAAAATCTGGTGATCTTCATCGACACCGCTTACAAACCTGTCCGGTACCAGTGATCCTGAAAAGTAGACGAGACATGGAATTTTCTCAACGAACACACACCTTAAACCTGAGGCAAAACGGTGATAAGTTTGCAATGAAATTTGGAAGTTATGGAACGCGTTTTAGAAAATTCTTCGATATGCAACAGATGAGAATTTTCCTTTAATATGTCGAAGAAATCTGACAGTAGAATCGTTCTCGACGACGGCCACTGAAAGGAAAGTACGGAAGGGCTTCATTACATGTGCAATAATTAAAGAACCTTTCAGATGGTAATGGTGGATTCTTCGCATCAGATTCAAAGGAGTGCAATAAAATGTGCGCAGGTGAACGCAATGACTGCAAACTCTGACTGACGGTTGCCACAGAACAATGCACGATATGCATAGTATGCTGTCGGCCTTCTAACAAGAAGGTAATTACGCAATCACGACAGTATAAAGCAACGACTAAATGCAAAAACTGCGACTTTCATAAGGGCATTTGAATTTTAACTCTGCTGCAAGTGTTGAAAACTGTTGTCCCGTCTGTGACATAAAAGAATTATGAAAATTGTA